CGAACACGCCGAAACAGAAGCACGCGAGATTGAATTGGGCCGTTGTAGTATCAGAAGAGACAACGCGCCTACCGTGCGCTGCGTCGCCGAGGTCAGCTGTGACAGGAAGAAGTCAAAACATTGGACGGCTGGCAACGTCTTCTTATACTTCTGATTCACATTTCCCCCAAGGAACATGGCGATCTCACTGGCAAGCTCTTGTTTTGCACTTCCGGAATGTCTGGTCTGCACTGTGACTTGCCTTGCATCGACATTGCGTTAGCTTAACTCAGCCATTCCGCCTTCTTTGACCGGCAAGTGCGAACAATCACTGTCACGCTTCTTTTTGGCAAGTTAAACAACAATCGTTGGCTAGCATCTACAGCATGCGTCAGCGCAGTCGTATGCAACGCATTCATGGCGGCCATGATCCCTTGCCTGAGTTTACTAGCGACACACTCCGTTCGGTGAAGGCTTCGTGGGAATTTTTCATAGCATGGCTAAAAATCGTCTGGTTTGATATATTTGTCATGTCGGCAATAGGTGGCGCTGCTCTAGGCGTAAGTCACACATCCCACATCACGTAACAAACCGGCAACGAGAACTGATGCGTTGTTGCAGATTTACAATGCCCCCCTGGCCGCAACACGCAACTTTCCTATCACCTTCAACGGCTCTGGAGATATTGTATATCCCCAGTGGGCATATCCCGACCGCGGTTGGATCATCGAAACCTGGTTGTCGGCGTTGTTATCTGCCGCCATACCAATCGCCGCCATTCTCCTCGCCCAGTTTCGTGTGAGGAACATCTGGGACGTGAATAACGGCATCATCGGCCTAATTTTCTCCATATCACTCGCCACATTGATTCAAGTCATAATCAAACAGCTAATTGGCGGATTTCGCCCCTACTTTCTGGCAGTATGCATGCCCGACCTCACGCGAGCAGCCAGCAACAATTCAACAGGACTAAACGCCGTCGGCTTCCAGCAGATCATGTACTCAGTAGATGTCTGCACGCAACCAGACCGCGACAAACTCAAGAATGCAATGACGTCCTTCCCCTCAGGCCACTCTACGGCCGCCTTTGCCGGATTTGTGTATCTCTTCTTGTACCTAAATGCTAAACTCAAGGTCTGGGCAGACTACCGCCCAGCTCTCTGGAAGATTGCGTTGACTTTTGCGCCTCTTCTGGGCGCTTTACTTATCGCATGCTCTCTCACCGTAGACCAGGCTCACAATTGGTACGACATTGTCGCTGGAAGTGTCATCGGGACTGCTGTGGCGTTTGGGTCCTATCGTGGATGCTACGCTGCTATTTGGGACTGGCGGTTCAACCACATTCCTCTGCAGAGGCGCGACCAGTTTGTCTACTCGCCGGGAGACGGGACGGAATATCGGAATGATGTGTTCACGAGATCCGGTGGCTGGGGAGCGATGCAGGAAGAAGCAGCAGAGAAGAATCCACCCAACAGGCGAAGCAGTGCTTACTATGCTGATCAGCAGACTGCGTATCACGGAGCATCGGATAGGGACGCCCTGCCATCACAGCTACCGCGAACACGCTATAAACAGCAGAGAAACCGGCCACGGGGAGATGAAGCTGTTTGACAAACATTTTTCTGGAATAATCGAGGGTCAATGTCAAAGACAAAGGCAAGACTTGTTATCAGTTAGTGTCAGCCTATTGCCAAGATAGCGAGAAAGGAAGCTGTTTTGACATCGATAATCGCATGTGCCCACTTCCCGTGGAAACTACCTGACCTTAGCTACCCTTGCCTGATCTGTCTCTGTCCAAGCATCGGACTCAAATCATAATAATCGAGTTTCTGGAAGGCGGAAGGGGACTGACGCAAGTCACTGTCATTGTTGACAACGATTCGCATGGGAACTCAAACCTGAGGTCTCGACCCGAGACTCAGAGTAGATGTACTGTTGATCTATCGAGATTCTCGAATCTCTATGAAGCGAATCGGCCTGGACTCGCGTCTGTGGAGTCGGGCGCAATGCATCCCTGCTTAGTCTTTTCCCCAATTGCGGGCTCGCCGCTCGTCCCACGCGAGCCGCGGAACTCAAAAGTCGGGCATAAAAACACCATGATGTTGTGCATAGGTCAACTTTCAAGCACGAGGACATCCTTCGGGCCTTTATCACACACCTACGGGATGACAACATATTCAAGTATGTTAGATCCTTTCACCTCTTTCCTGCTTTCTGTGTTGCGTGGCATGGATATATCAGCGCTTAGTTGAGATCGTTGATTAGCGCTGTTCATGTTCTGAAGTTGTCCTCATTCCGCCCTTGCTTAGTCTTAGCACGGAAACTTTGTCCACATACCTATCCATAGGTATCCGTACGGATAGATAGCTCAGAGATTGTTGCTCAACAACTCGGATCAACTCCCAACTACCAGCCTCTCATTGTGCCGCCGTGCCCCTATTTGCACACGCTGCATAAACCTCATCTTGCGACCTCCACTGCCGTGCTTACAGTCATCCTCGTATTGCCCAGCAACAAGCGTGTGCACGTTCCACTTACAACCCTGCAATGATACCAGTCCGCGATTATCTTGCTATTTACAAGGATGAAGTCCGAAGAAACCCACAATAACTTGCTATCGGCTGACTCGGAGGAGCAGCAACAAGGGGAAAGATGCATTTACTTGATGCGACAATGAACTGATGCGGTATTCCCCAGTCCACCAACATCAGCCGCAATGGAAGATTGAGTTAAAGATCCGCTTTCCCCGGATCCCCCTTCGCGCACAACTCCTCTGTCACTTCACGGCTTCCTCGTCGCGACCTTGTCACTCGTTTTTTTGTACAATTTCTCAGCAATTGTAGTTGATAGTCCTAATAATAATAACCAAACAGCTTCACGATGTTGTCCCCGAAAGCCGCCGCCCTCTTCAACTTTGCCCTCCTGGCCTCCGCCGCCCCGGGAAAGCGCCAGTCCACCGGCACCGGATCTTGCACCGATTTGCACATCTTCCTCGCCCGCGGATGGAACGAGGGCTACCCGGGCAGACAGCAGCTCGTCATTGACGCCACCTGCAATGGCCTCTCCAGCTGCGACTACGAAGATATCTTGTTCGATGCGTCCAACCCCTCTGGTTACCCTGCCGCGGTTGAGGAGGGTCGTGTATCCGGAGTCGCCCAGGTCAAGGCATACAGCGAGAAATGCCCTAGCTCCAAGATTGTTCTGAGTGGTTACAGCGAAGGTGCCAACGTTGTTGGAGATATCCTCGCTGATTCTGGGCTGGCTGCTACCGCCGCTCCAGGAAACCAGGGTATGTTTCTCATCCCATAGATGCGAGCAGCAGGCCGAACACTGACACGAACTTCAAAAGTCTGCGCCGCTCTCCTCTTCGGCGACCCGACTCACATTGCCAACCAAAGCTACAACGTCGAGGCTGGGTCCAGCTTCAGCGGCCAGATGGCCCGCTCTAGCTCCTCCCTGAGCAACCTCGATGGCTTCTCAGGCGTCCTGCGCTCCTGGTGCAACGGCGAGGACACTGTCTGTGCCTACGGCGAGGGCCGAACGATGGGCGAGGATGCCCACACCAACTACTTCCAGCTCTACACCAACGACGCGGCCGCGTACATCAAGGAGAAGTGCGTGCCCTCCGGAACGATCCCGCCGACGGCGACCGCCACCTCCAGCCTTCCTGCGCCCACTTCCACTGGATCCTTCTGTGTTTCTGGCTCGGTCAAGGCAGGTCTGTCTGACAACTACACCGGTCTTTGCGAGTTCTCTTGCTCCAACGGATACTGCCCCGAGGGCGTGTGCGAGTGCTCTGCATTCGGCGAGCAGACGACCAGCCCTGGCGGAGACGGCCGCGATGGATGCCCTGCTGCTGGATTGGATGAAAGCTATAAGGGGCTTTGCAGCTTCAGCTGCAGCCATGGCTACTGCCCGACCGGCGCTTGTGTGTACTGCTAAGCAATCATGAGGCGCTGTCTGTGAGAGTGCAGAACCGGCATTCGTAGAGCATTAGGAAATAGACAAGCCCTTTGGTAACGAGTAATTCGCATTTCATCCAAGTCTTTGTGCGCAACTTCCGTACATATCAATGCCAAAAAGTGATCTGGGGGACTGCCAAGTTACGAGATGACTCATTTCTGTAGCTCAACCTGAAACCTATATGCTACCGAACTTCAAAGTGACTACTAATCTAAGGGGGTGTGTGATGGAGAACCAGAATTAGGTGTAAACGGATTGCTTCACATTCCGTGGACAAGTAAACTAAACAATCCAGATTCTCTATTCTACTGTGGCCTGATGGACAACTTTATGTGTGGGATGAACAGTAGCCATTCCCCGAGTAATGCCAGAGAAATGCCAGATGATGAGACTACTAATAACTCTCTGGCTGTTCTGTTTGCCGAAGAGCACATCAAAGAGTCGTGCAGTTCACCTCATCCAATTTGACTCCTCATATCTCTCAAATCTGTGCAGAATCTTGACAGTCCAGCTCAGGCCACGCTCGGGTGCGGGACCCGATGCCGTGATGTGATGTTTTGCCGGATTGACCGCGCTACCGGCACTTCCGACGATCCGGCCGCTCTTCACCAGATTGGGCTTGCTGCAGCCAAACGAAAGAGAAGTCATGATAACAGTTCCGAGTGTGCACGGGGCGCCCGGGGCCCGATCTGCAAGGACCAAGGCCCGGGTGCCAAGGCAGGGGTGATCATTGAGTGGACCGCGGGCTGAACAAGTCGGATCGAGGAGCGGGAAGTTCATCGATGTGCGGACTTCCAGACTCTTGAGTCTGAAGTGACTAGAACAAGTCTGCCGTTGAGTGCAATGCGGAGGTAAAAAGCCTGGATCCTCTGTGGGAGAGGAAGAAGAGCGATGCATTGCGGACGGATCTAGGCATCAGATCCGTTGGGCATGCCGTGTTCCAGGTCCGCCTTTTCGGCCCCCAAAGAGATGGCTGGGATTTTCTTTTAGGCCTAGCCACGTCTCGGACGACAGCAAAATCCCGCATTGCATTTGACGCGATGGGGGGATTCACAGCAATCCCATTCAGCATTGGCGTCCTTGGAAGTGTGTTGGAAGTACAATCCTCCTGCTATCTGCCCTTAGTCTGTCAGCTAGACAAAGTCATTTGAAAGCATAGCTTCAATTATTCTTGTTGTCAGACATGCGCCTGGGCCCTTTACCCGGCCATCTCATTTCCGGTCATGACTGTTGGTTCGTCATTGTTGACAACGACGAACCGCCCGGCAAGGGAGATGGAGATGCGAGGGATTCAACTTGGCGTCTAAGAAGACTGGGACTGCCATGTGACCACAATTGACCCGATCCCCTGCATCTCAATTGACGTCAGCCAATTCGAGGTGGTCTTCCATCTTCCCTTCCAAAGTGCTTCGCCAACGGATTTCCACTCTTCAGGTGCTGCTAGATTTGTTTGCTCTCCCGTCGTGCAGCTGCTTTGGGTCTCCTGAAAATCGGTATTCGGTTCCATTGAAAAGCTCCGTTGAAAGAAGTGTACCGCCTCAACACGTGGGTGGAGCAAAACGTTTCTAATTTCGGTTTGGAGAACAAAACGATCGACAGTAATCGACATTTTCCGTTTCATTGTTCCTGCAGGAAACGGGAGAAGCGAGACTGTCATCTTGAGAAACTGAGTCGATGGGTTGTGACTGTTGAGCGGGATGGAAAGCGACAATGGGGAAGGTCAAATTCTCCGTGAACTCTATGCTGCATTCACGCTATCCTCATTTCCATCCAGGCTCTCCGAGCAATGTCGGGATGGATGGCTGGATCTGTGGTGAATGGGTGTGGCAGCTGTGGCTTGCTGCGGCGTTGTCAAGTTTCCTAACCGCAAGTAGTTGGAGGGAAAGCGAAACAACTGCTGTTATCCCTGTATTATCTTTGGCTCTTCCAGGTTCCTTGACAGTTCCGCAGACTCTGCACAACCAACGTCTGTTTGACATCACCCGTCTCTCACCTTCACCCCTGTTTACCCAGACCCAACGCACGTTTCTTGTGCGGGGGGGAAACGCAACACATCGGTCAAGTGCCACAGTTGTGCCAAATCTGCCAACGCTTGGCCCACCGAACCGGACAGGGTGCGACAAGGTGTGTAATCCTGAGTGATGTCATTTACCCACCAACGGGCTGTCGCAATCACGGTACAACGGCATCGTGGCGCCTAAAGAGGCATGGCATTTCTTGTGGCGCGTGGTCTAGGCTCCTCTGGCTCTCCAATGGCCTCGGTGAAGCGTCCTAAACAGATCTGCTACTGCGGTTCGAGAAAACTGGGTTATGTGATTTTGGGCCGCTCATCCTTCAGATTTCTAGTGTTTTTTTTCCCCCTCCCACCAAGCTCCCAGAGTCCCAAGCACTCCAAGCTGGTGGTACGCGTCAGACTGGAGCAAACGCCTCGTCGTCTCTTGGTCCCAGCAAGGGTTTGAACTGACACAACGCCGCACGAGGGCGCAAAAGCTCCGGCTTTGATCCACTACAATGATGAAATGGATGGGGTAGACTGACGTTGGAGAGACGGCCTGTCTCGGTCTTGTTTCTAATCGTCTTTAAAGTCTTTTGGCCGTCCCGCTTTCTTGTTGAATTCTCACGATGGTGTAGGGCCTTCATAATAACCGAACAAGCCACCCGCAACCTTATCCAGGCCACTTCCCCTCCGGTTGTAATTCCAACATGGCGCCGTTGCAGAGTCGCATTCTTGTCGGCTGCGGCCTCATCTCTGCCGCTCTCGCTGCTGACAACGTCCTTTCGTTGACGCTCTCCGAATCAGTCCCCAATAATGTCTCAGCAACAATCGACCCATCATTCGCCGGCTTCGGCATCGAGCTCGACCACCTCTTTTACTTCATGGGCGACGAAACACCAAACGATCTGTCTCTCAACCTCATCAATAACCTAGCCAACTTCACCGGTCGTCCACCGCACATGCGATTGGGAGGAAATACACAAGACTATCTCGTCTACAACGACTCACAAGACGAATGGCTTATCAAGCCGAACCCCCGCCCTACCGCGCCGGGGAACGTCCCTGCTGATAACTTCATCGTCGGTCCCCGCTTTATGGAGATCGCAAACCGTCTGCCCAAGGGTACGCCCGTCACATGGGGTCTGAACCTGGGCTACGCAGAGTCCGACTACCTCGAGAGGCTCACAACAATGGCATCTCAGATTATCGACCGGTGCACCAACCTCAACATCATGTCATTCGAATTCGGCAACGAGCCAGACCTTTACGGCGACAACGGGTTCCGGAAGAAGGCTACCTGGTCCGGCACGGAGTACACCAAGGAATGGCGGGAACGCGCCAACGCTGTGTGGGAAGATGTCCTGGAACCCCGTGGGCTGCACAGCGACTTCTTCGAGGCGTCTGCTTCGACCGCCTGGGTAGCTGGCACGGGCTTCGAGATCAAGGATCTAGTTGAGTACGGTATCGACGATAAGGCCAACAGCTCCGACGTTGGCTTCGTTACGGGCTGGAATCAGCACAACTACTTCTACTTTGTCGGGTCTTTCCCGTACCCCTTGACTCTCGACTACATGCTGCGCTTCGAAACGACAAAGGCGCAGTTCGACTCGGCGATTGAAACTCAAATCACGCAAGCCGAGAAGACTACGCACCCCTTTGCGCTGCGCGAGATGTCTGTCGTTGGACCGCTTGGTGCCGAGGGACTCAGCAACACCTTCGCCGCCGCCCTATGGACTCTCAACTTCCTACTCTACGCCACAACTATCAACATCTCGTCCGTTCAGTTCCACATGACCTACGACAGCAACGCCAGCGCCTGGCAACCGACAGCCATGTTCGGACGCGACCGCTTCGTTCGGCCGCTCTACTACGGCATGGCTGCATTTGCCCAGACCATTGGCCGCTCCTGCACCGCCCGCGTTGCACAGGCCGAGATTACGGATTACCCCTCGGGCTACAATGACTATATCAAAGCCTGGTCGGTATACCAGGGTGACTCGCTCGCCTCCCTTGTCCTGCTCAACGGCAAGGTCGCCAACGTCTCTGACGCCGATAAGGGCAGCATCACCGTCGATGTTACCCTGCCCTCTTCCCTCGCCGGAGAGACGCTCCACCTGGCTTACCTGACCGGCGACGGCGCCGACGCAACGAGCGGGACGACGTGGAACGGCCTCAGTTTCGAGCAGGCCAACGACGGGAAGCTCAGTCAGGTGTCCAGCGACGATATCACCGTCAAGGTGGGCAGCGACGGTAAGGCGAGCATTCCTGTTCGCGACACCGAGGCCGTGGTTGCCAACGTCGGCGCCAAGGTCGGTAGCGCGGAGCCCGATAGCACAGCGTGCGGTGGGCTCGCGACTTCGTCTCAGGGAGTTGGTACGGCGACTACATCTACCCCCGGTTCGTCATCGGGTGGCTCGAGCAATTCGTCTTCAGGCAAGAGCAATGATGATTCAGGCGCGATGGGTCTGGGTTCTGGAGCGAGCATTTACAACTGCATTGCGTGGAGTTTGGCACTTACCATGGGATTCTTCTTCTTATAAACTCGGGGGATAGAACATGATACCTAGGGTCTTGCATTTTGGCGTAATGGGATAGGGTGGATATAATGACTATACGGTTTCTTTTGTCATGTCATCAAAAGAATCTCTAATCAAACAATTTTCATGTAGAATTTAGCCTGTGAATTGTGAGGGCTGCCCACCCCCCCCCCCCCCCCCCCCTCCATTTTCGCATCCTCCGCTACCTACGCAAGCGTACGTTATGTATCCCATCAACTGCTAGATGGCGTCAGTACATACTTTAGGTACGTACTTTGATAGGGTGAATAGCGAATAGGCTAATAATCCGGCCCTATTTCCCTTATATCTGTCTATACATAATCTCGAAATAGAGCAAAATTAGAGAGAGACTGAAGACGGATGTAGTGACACCATCCAGCAGTCAATGGGATAGGTGTTCTAACATAACTGCAATCCACGGAAAACTAACAGTTTTATGGCTGGGCCTTCCACAATTGTAGAAGTATCTGCGTCAATCGAAATTACTGAAGTGGCTGCTGAAGTGATGATGGCTCTGCGGTATGACGCGCCGGCCCGAGAAAACGATAAATGCATGTAGAGAACAAACTCGGGCCGTCTCGGACTCAAAAGTGATTCAAAGCCACGTCATTTACACGTTTCCTGAAAGGGGTACCCATTTCTAACAAGAATGCAGGCTATAATATAAGTATTGGAAAGCTATATGACATTTTTCGTTATTTGATCAATAACACACTTTGAAGAAATATATACACGAATCTTTCATTAGCTGTTCAGCTTTGTATGTTTGTTTCTTGCTGCCTTACGTCCCATCAAGGGAGCAAGACAACTCGCAAACCAAACAGCTTAGATCTGAAGTCGAATCGACATGAGGTCTAACAAGAGCCAGACTTTTCGCCGGGACCGTTATACAGTTGGCATGGAGTCTTGGCATCAGTGCAAACGTTGACGAGAGTCGCCTCATCGCCAGTTTCCTCGTTGATGCCAGCAACCTCGCCGCCGCCGTAAGCGGAGACTCCCTCGATCGTGACGGTACGCTTGCAAGCATCGCACTACGAAATGGTAAGCTAAGTGTATCATGTCGTGAAGGGTGTTGTTTCGAGAGACTTACAGTGCCGCAAGCTCTGTAGACCTTTCCGTAATCGGATGCGTAGAAGTTTGAAATCTGTCATTGTTGTAAGCAACTCTAACATTCGACGAATTCCTCAAAATCGGGGTTGGTTTACTTACGCTGACACTTCCGCAGCCATTGTGCTGAACAACCTTGTCCGCGGCGTTGTAGGCACCGCCACCGATAATACGAGTCTCGGTGCCGGCTTCATCCTCTTTGCTAAAGTAGAGGTTAGTTCCGATACGAAGACGTCGGGTCAGGTCGCCAAGTGAAAGGCGATGGCTTGACTTACATCGAGATAGCGTCCTCGCAGACGTCCTCGAACCACACATTCTCGATGGTGCAGCCACCACCGATGCAGTAGACGCCCTCCATCTGGTCCTTTCCGATGATCGCATTCTTCAGAGTGGCACCCTTGCGGAGGAGGAAGACGGTGTCCTTCTGGCCACCTTCCGTCTGGGCCTTGCAAGCACCCGAGCCTCTGTCGAAGCGGGCCATCTTTCCATCGTATGACTCGCCAGCGGCCACCTCGATAGGCTCAGTGTTGCTGATTGTCTCTGTCGCGGTAGGAAGAGCGTCCTTACCCACGCAGGCAGAGACGGTTGGGAAAGCGACGGCCAGAGCCGCGAGGAGCTTGAAGGCTTCGGTGCGCATGTTGACTGATGTATGAAGTTGAAAAGTTGCTTAAAGAGTGTATATAGTTACGGAGAAGTTGTCGAAGTCTGGTACTGAAAGGTTTTCTAAGCCATTCTGAGAGAAGACCTTCCCGTTCATTTATACTCGACTTTAGGACTAGGTATTGCTCAATGGGATGATCGAGAGGTGGATAGCCATTCCCTTTCCAAGCTCGCTCTCACAGTAGGACAAACAGCCGAATTAAGGAGGTCTTGGCTATTGAAGGGATCCCGCATATCCTCCACAACCCGCGCTTTATGGCGCTTGACAGGCCCACTGATTGGTATTCATGATATTGACGAGTCAAAGCCGACTGGACTCAAAGCTCGTTAGTGACCATTGGCAGAATATGGAGACCTGCACAACATTCCTCCCACTAAACAACACGCATGCAATCAATCTGGAAACCTGTTTGCCAATACTTTAATCTAAAAAGTCACATTACACGTGGAAAATCGGAGGAGGCCCGTTTCGAAACGCGCCAAGACGCAGTTTCCGTGCACAAGAACCGGACAAGATCACCACCGGTCGCCTGTCGGAGGGTGTTCCCGGGGCCGGACATCGGGGTGGTGAGACGATCGTTACCCAGCGTGCTGCCAAGACTCTGGGTACTGCCACGCTTGGCACAACCGCCCAGAAGAACCAGAGCTTCAAATTGAAAAAGGAGCTTGCGGTGCTTGGGCCGAGTCTTAGCCTCCCCTCTTGATGTTCATTAAAGACAATGCAACTTCACCTTTCTTGTTAGAAACGCCAGGTCTCTATCCAAAATTCGCCCCTGCTCTACAGTCAACACCTCAGGATAATGAGCTCAGAGCAAAACCTGACGGTCCGATTAAGACATACTGAAGGCGAGGCAACTTACCATGGTGACACAAGCAACGTGAAAACTTGGGGAAGTGATACAAGTGAACTGTCGGGAATGTGTATCTGAGATTCACGAAGATTGCGATCCCTTCGGATTTCATGCTGTGGTTGTTCATCAGATGCATACACAAACGCAGCGATATGGTTTGTGATCGGCAGGACTGTCAGACAAGAAAGGTATTGGTCTTCGTCATTTTCATCCCTTTCCTCAGACTCCTTTGACATTACGAGTAGACAGTAGAAATCAAGCCAAGCATTCTCGCGGTTGAAACAAGGGGAGCATACGCGTTGGCGCGCCATATAAACAGGCATGTCTTGGCACAATCAAGGGAGTACGACGCTACTGAATCTGCACACTGATAGTATGACACGCTGAGCTCCGCTCCTACAGCCGCAATACCTCCCAGGTTCCTATGACCCTATAGTTACACAGACGAAGGAAGTAGCAGCTAGGATCTTCCAGGCCTGGCTCAAGACTGTGCCAGGTCAGCATACAGTCGTATACTCAGACGGCTCCAAAGCTCCTGACGGGGCTACAGGGTTCGGCTTTGTTATCTACCGCAACAATAAACGTATAGCCCAGGGCTGCGGCCGTCTCGGCTTAGCAGAAGTGTTTGATGGTGAGGCGGAGGGGGCGAGGGCTGGGCTCCGACGGGCCCTTCAGACCTCCCAAGGCCAGCCTATACACATCTGCATCGACAATACCAGCGTTATTCAGGGGATTCGCGGTAAGGTCCCAGACTCCTCACAAGCGGCCTTCCTTGAGATCCAGGAGGTAGCTAGGATACACGATATACAAACCCATTGGTCTCCTGGGCACCAAGGTATTAAAGGAAACGAAGAAGCAGACAGCCTAGCTAAGGAGGGAACAACTCTACCAGTCCTTAGGGGCCAACTAGCTACTCTATCAGGTATCAAGTGGCTTGCTAAAGAGCGGCCAAGACGCCAATATAGACGATGGTGGAAACAAGAGGCAACTCCCCGCTATACCCAACTAGGGCTCAAGGCTACCCTTGCTTGCCCTCCTGAACTTGGCCTCCCTAGGGCTGCCCTTCATCACCTCCTCGCGGCACGGTCAGGCCACGGGGACTTTGAACAATATCACCAACGCTTTAACCACACAGAAGCACTACTCACCTGCTCCTGTGGATGGGTTAAGGAGGCAGACCATCTAGTCTACTGCCGAAAGACCCTACTGAGGAGGCAACAGTGGCCCACCCTCTACCCCTACAGCCGCCAGGAGCCCGTAGGACCTATAGGGTCCCTCGATCGCTACTTCAAGGGGCTAATCACTGACTCTGAAGGCTTCCAGGCCTTCCTCTGCGTGACAGACTTCTTCCAGAAGATCTGCCCGCGGTACTAGGAGATAGGTCATAACCTATCCTCCAAACGACAGACTACCTCTATTAAGAAACCAGATGGTTATAACGGAACTAGGGCACCAGTGGGAACTAGGGATGGATAGAACACATAGTAGCTCACGAGCAAGATTTGGAGGACGTCAGGATACGGCGTGTACTATATAGTATATAGCTAGAGCCTGCGACCCTTCACGCCACATACCCTTCGGGAGGTCTGCCGCAAGGGCGGCTGCGCCCTTGCCGCCATGGCGTTAAATAGAACAACAACAACAACAACAACACGCTGAGCTCTGACCTGGGGGTTAATTGTACATGGAGTTTCAACCGCTTCTTCTCTGCACTCGGTTATTATTGCATTCATCTCAGTGGACGCTATCAGTATCTGCACATGACAACGCTGTTGCGAAGACATCGCCCATAGGCTTGCTACATGAGAGGATGAGGTCTTGATTGAAGTGGATTACAGTGAAATAGAACCTATGTGCATACGGGGATCTGAGTGTGTGGTGCCATTGATCTAATTATGTACTTGAGGCATGGACTAAGACCATATGTCTACTTTATGTGAAAGGACCTGATATGAAGGACATGGAAGCTTCTCTTCTCTTGCGTGATGATACACACATCGCGCAGCCAGTAAACCCCGCGCCAAGAATATTCCATCACGAGATGCTAGAAATCACTCGCGGAACATGTGGTCATGATGAGAGGTTCTTGCTCTCGTGGTCAACCTGGATTTTTTCGACCGACGACTTCGTAGATTGGCGGTCAAGCAGAGGCTTCAAGCCTGGAAGTGCCACAACGGTAATGGCGAGCGTCATTTCGAGGATACTCAGGGGATCTATAGAGCTCTGATCAGACAATGTTTTGACGAATGGGTAGAGGCGTAATCCAAGACTTACAAACCAAGTTCTCCTGACCAGTGCCAACCTTCAGGGTGATAAAGCGAACGATAGTAGTCATGATGGTCAAGGTACCAAGAACGAAAGTAAGAGTCAGACCGGTGGATCGCTCGAGGACACCTTGAATCAACAGAGTCAAAGGAAGGACATAGACTAGAGATGCTATGATTAATGATCATCCTCAAAGGGACCAACAAAGAGTGTTGAAGGGACGATCTTACCGCAGAGGTAGCAAGCGAGGTTG